AGCAAATCACTGTTTCTGAGTCTGTGGACCTTACACATCTGGTAGTTGGTAAGGAAGCATTGGGTAGTCCATCAAACAAGCACAAAGATTCAGCAACCATCAAATGGATACACACTTCCTTATATCAACAAACAAAGAAAATAAGGAGAAAACACTGTTACTAAATGAACATCTGATGTTAAGCTTCATTATTTGTTTGGTCGTTTATGGAAACCGTTGTGCCAGTGCTTTTTTTTTTTTTTCCTTTTCCTCATAACACTACGATGATTCTTGGTGTGTAAAGAAAAAAAGCACTGTGATGATGTTTTGATTAAATTGTAAAAAAAAAAAAGGAGAGGAGGAGCTCTCAAGTTTGTTGCCTCCTCTGCTTTTTTTATGATTCTGTATCCTCCTCTGTGATTTTCCATTTCTGCTCTTTGCTTTATTGGTTTTACCACTATTTATGGTTCTCTTTCTTCCTGTAAAAAAAAAAAAAAAAAAAAAAAAGGAAAAGAAAAAGGGTAAGTTGTAGGTGCAGCAAAGTACTCCCATTAGCAAAGTTTATATCAAAAACATAAAGTGTTTTTCCGTCTCTAGCCTGTGAGGATGATTCAGCTTGCTTGTACAGAATTCATAGATCCACTGTTCCCAGGCTCATGTTCTTTCTGTTATTTCTCATCGTTCCATCTCCATTTCCCATAATACTGCACCTTCTTCCTGTAATTTGTCTGCTGTCTGAGCTTAGACCTGCCTGCCCTCTTCGTGCCCCTAACACTTTGGATGCTTTCCCTACTTTCTCTTTACTTAGTCAGTTTGTTCTTGCATTTTCTTACTTTTTTTTTCCCCCATTTTCCTCTGCAGAAAGATACCTTTTCTGCTTTTAAAGTAATTAAATTAGCAGAGCTGATAGAAATCTAGGTGAACGAATTCTCTGAGCACTATGCTTTTCAACGGATGCATTTCTGAATGCACATTAGCTAAACTTCCGTAGACCTCATTAAACGACAGACATTATTATTTGATTAATATATCCAACAATAATAGCATTATTCAAACACTTTACTCAATAAATTACATTCAGCACACTCAGAAGTTAATGGTGCATTCAGGTTGCTCTGTTTGCCTAGCAGAGTACGTACGTGTGCAGCCTTAAGGGGGGAAACCAGGTCACTGATACGTCTGAGGGAAACAGGGGATGTGGAGGTTCTTCTGGTCATTTTTGTCTCTTGTGAGCAGGACAAAATGTGTGGGTGGTGGTGGTGGGGTGTATTTAAGTCACATCTAGGGAATAATTGATGTATGTGAGAAGGAAGAGAGATTACCTGCTCCGTTTCCTGGCAGGTAGTAGAAGCAGCCCAAGCACTTGTTTTCATGCTTATCTCTAGTACTTCAGCTAGAAGTGGGTACAGCAAATCAACGTATCTCTAAGCTTCAGCTTCTGTCCAAGTTGGGGTGTGCACATGTGCATGTGTATGGAGCAGGAGGGGTTGAAGTAAATCTAACTTCAAATCTCTGCTCTTCACTTCTTGCTCCATTCAACTTTTTCTTGAGCAAATCATCTTTATTTTACCGTTTAAGACTCTCTAGTGCCTCTTTTGTAATTTCCAATAGAGGCTAAGTCTTTTTTGTGGTCTTTATATCTACAGTGCCAGATAGATCCCCCTTTGACCCTTTTGTTGCTTTTTTAAACCTATGAGTCATTTCATTGTTAGCCTCAACGTTGGACATTACCTTGATGCAAATTGATGTCATCTACATTTTCTCCAATCTACTCAATTTCTTTAGCTAGCTTCCCTTCTCGACTCCTTTTGATTCATTCCGCACAAAATGAAATTACTCCAAATGCTAAGGTTGAAATCTCTCTTTGGCTACAAGGATTTGGATCACATTTTTTCCTGTCTTGTCCTTACAATAGTCAGAATATAATTTTGCTAAAGCGTCATGCCCTGATACTTCTTTTGGCATCTGCTTCTGCTTGTACTGCCACTGTTAGATGTGTTACAAAACCTCATAACACTTCATCTTTTTCCTACAGCTCAATTGTGTGCTTACTTGAAGATTTGTCTTTTTTTTTTTTTTTTGTCGCTTGAATTCTCACCTTGCTCTGCATTTCATACAGCCCATATAACGTCTTTGTCTTCTTTAGCCTCAGCTAACTTAGCCTCTCATCAGTCTATGCCTGTACTGTCCCATGAAGTCAATTTTCTCTTGTTGACCTGTTCAGTAACTCCTTACATTTGAAGTCAATTTTATTTTTTCCATTCCATATGCTCTTTGAAATGCTTCAGTGAATTAATGGTATTTTCAAAGGGTGCAAAAGCATTAGTTAACATCCACAGTCTTCTGTAGCAACAGTGGTGCATAAAGCAAACATAACCTTTTAAAGGCACATTTGCAGCTCCTTTCAAAGGAGGAGCTGTGCTGGTTACAACCCAAATAATACCATGAAACAGGTTCTGTGGCCCTTCAGGCTTGCGGCTGAAGGTTGTCCTATGCAGCCATTTCTCAACATCACGCGAAAGCTGCACGTGGAAAAATATAACCAAAGCTCTGCAGAGTTCTGGCTGCAGAAGCACCACTGGCCACAAGACCTGCCCTACAGTCCTTTAATAAATTTCAGTTTCCCATTGACAGAGCACGTAGACCAGGAACCATCTTCAGTTCTGGGAAATCCCTGCTGCCTCAGTGCCAGACATCTAGGTACCAGAATGCGTTGCTGTCTTTCAAAATAGCTTTGCAGGAATTTCATCGATCCGATCTTCTGGTAGGCTAGAATTTGCCCATTCCTCAGGATCTGCTGGAGATTTTAGTCAAATCCCTGATCCCCATTTTCTTTGAGCAAGACTTCCTTTTCCACTTCACATGATTCTCCTTAACGTGGGACTGGCAAAAGAAGGTATAAAGTTCTTTTTGAATCCCTCTTGCTGCTCAGGTAAGGAAGTAGCAGCTGAGCTTTGGGCAAAGCAACCGCAAGGTAAATTTTTGAATCTGTATTTAGGTGTCTTCATAGCCTGATTTCCACCAGTGTTGGCTCCCACTGATTTTTGTGCCTTGCTGGTGACCCAGCATATCTTTAATTTCTGTCCTGTCTTGTTCAGCTGGAGGCTCAGAACTGGTGTAACTCCAGTCATGGATTGATAGGTGACGTTAGGCTTTTTACATTAGAAAGGGATGGTGCAGTTCTTATGGCTGTTAGAGAAAGTCCACTCGCAGCTGTCCTCATTTTCATGAAATAACAACATTCAGTCTTCCCTCTGTAGTGCTTGTGCACATCCTAAAATCCTAGGAAAAGCCTTCTGAGGTTTTCCTTCAAATCTCCTCCAGAGGACAGCTCATCCACAAGATGTGCTCGTACATGTTAGTATTCCCACTCGCTCATGTGAATGTTTTGTTTCCTTGCCAGTGCTTTATTACCTAGCAGTATCTTCATGCTCTGCTATTCAGCTCCTTTGAGACTGATGTATTGAGTGTGTATTACTTATCTAGAAAGCATTAAAGCCCTAGTACTCATGTCTTGAAGAGCTTGATTTAAGCTTCTGCTTGAACTCGGCAGGCATGGAGGACAGAAATAGCTCTTTAATGACCAAGTCACCACCTGCCAAACATATTTAAAAGCATATAAGCATATGTCTGGTAGGATATAAGCCAACTGATATTCCCCTGTTATTCTTTTTTATCTGCGACATAAAGAAGTAGCTTGGTAACCCTTCTTTGTGAGCACATCTTTTTTCAATATCCTTCCCAGTATAAATCAGCATTATATTAATTTCTGTAGCTGTCTCTCAGCTCTTCAAGTCAGTCACCAACTCAAAAGCTTTAATGGTAGCAATGTAGGAATACCCAAATAGGCAAATAACCTTATTTTTCAGCAGAAGTCTGGCCACAGGCAGAGGTCTAGAGAATCACAGGCTGCAGAATCAAGGGGCAGCAAAAGAACTACGGACCTTTCTGTCTGTGTTGAGCTTTTTGTTGCTGTGGCCTGATGACTGCTTGTGTTCAAACTTGCCAGTTGTTGACCTTGCTCATACGTCAGTACTAATTGCGGCCACGGCAGCGGGATTTGCTTGTGCCGCCGCAGCCACAGAGGGGTACATTTTCCCTCCTGCTAGGCAGAGCTGGCAGGAGCAGTAGATGGGATGAGGACATTAAAAGATAGGAGACACAGATCTGGAAACTTCTCAGATTTCCCTCCTCGTGTCTCCCAGCCATTCTGTGTCCTGGGAATACGCCTACTTTTTTGCTCTTACAAAACAAAGGAGCATGATATCCTTGAAGATTCATGCAGACCTTGGAGGTAGGGCCTGGTGGGAAGGTGTGTGCTCTTGGTGGTTCTCTCAAGTCTTCTTTTGACTTTGAGGAGAGGCTGGCTGCCAATGGCTCCTCAGGCAGCTCTTCCAAAAGAAGTGTTCCAGAGTCAGGACAGGGGAAGACTTGTGTGGAAAATAAACTAGAAAATAAAAACATTTTTTGCAGCAGAGTTTAGTGCACTTCTTAAATGATAAGAAATACAACAAATAAAATCCAGTGAAGCAGGACAGGATTTAAAATATTGCATGAGTTTACTGAGAAGTTAGAGAGCAGACAAAAAGAAAACAATCTGCATTTTGGTAGCCAACTTATTATGGAACACATGGCTCCTATACATCAATTTGAAAGCAAAATCTGATTTGACTGTGCTTAGTATTTGCATAGCTGGCAGTTATGCAAATTGAGTGTGCCTCAGTGGTGGAGTGCTAGCCTGAACTTGCCAGAGAAAGCTCTACCTGATGCTCAGGAGACCCTTGGGAAAAACAGGCAAGTTTACTTGCAGAGGACAGTTTAACAGAATGATTAGGCTTCAGCCTAATTGACAAAACCTATTTTAACAGCAAATAAATTTTGTGTAATAGCCTCAGAAGGTACAAATTATCAGAACTAAGTTTGTTGTTGTTTTCCTTTTTAAAATGCTTAATAATTTTAAATTACTTCAGCTACTGGTTATATTTCACCTTGCATGAGCCTCTCATTTTTCTTCACCCCAGAGGAAGCATCCCTCTGATCTTTGTTTCTTCAATACGGCATTTCCTTCTTTCCTTGAGGAGAAAAATGAGCTGGGGATTCCTACGTGATCTGCTGGAGTGGCATGAATAAATGTTCAACAGGAATTGGAAGAATTTGGGTAGCAGTTGTGTTCATATTCCACTTATTGGTTTATGCTGAGGCTGCAGAAAACATCTGGAAATACGAATATGATGAATTTGAATGCAGTATCAAGCAGCCTCATTGTGAAAATGTCTGCTTTGACCATTTTTGCCCTGTCTCCCAGATCAGACTTTGGGTTTTGAAATTAATCATGGCCTCCACCCCTTCACTCTTGTTGGTTTTCATGCTGCTTACCAAGAGAACAGAGAGAAACACCACAACCAGAAACTTTATAAAGTCCAGGAGAGCTAGATGGTGGATTGCTATGCACTTACTTTGTCAGCCTTATTTTAAAAACAGGATTTGAAATAAGTTTTCTTGTTCTGTTTTATAAATTGTACAATGGATTCAAAGTACCACATCTTGTGAAATGTGGCAGAAGTCCATGTCCCAGTACTGCAGACTGCTGTATTTCCAAATCCACAGAGATGATTTTACTCTTCTGGTGGCAACTTCAAGCTTGTGCATTGTATTAAATCTAAGTGAATTGAGTCATCTAATTTTTTAAATACTCCATAAAATGTTATCTGAAGAGGTACATCAAGAAACGTCAAGGCTCAGAGAGTGATTGCCACAAGTCAGAAATAATCAGTCGTGACAGGCCGGCAACTGCAGGATGGTTCCACAACAGCTCCAGTCCTTGCCTCTGAATGTACAAGACAAATGTGAAAAGAGTTCCCTGTTGACTTGAAAGAAGGCTAGACACCACCTCCCTGTTCCACAAGCTGTGTTTGTCCAATTGCTCTTCCAATCAGTGTATCACAGAACTGAAAGGATAGTTATGTAGGAAATACTTTTTCTCTATTAGATCCCCTTACTTGAGTGGATAAATTCAGTCACATTATGTATGTCATACATAGAATCATCTAGATCTTTTCATGTTGAAACAAGAGGTGTAGAAGTATAAAAATTCCATGAGGTTTTAATATGAACACAAATGCTTATGATAAATCATGTTGAAACAAACGCTCACAGTTGTGTTTTGGATATTACACAGAATTGCTTTGGTACAAGCAAAAAGAGGCTTTTTATATGCAGAGTTGGAAGAACCTGGGATTGATTAAGGAGCTGAACAATAAGGGGATGTACACTACTTGTCAGGTGGGTGGATCCGATAGCTGTGGAAATAGTGATCGGAAAGCGCTGGCATATGGTAGCTGCTGGTGCCTTGAGCTGGATGGTCACAAGCCCGGACCACTGGGCTACTGTAAAACATCTCCAGAAAAAAAAGGAAAAAATAAGAGGTAGGCACATCTAGTTTAGCCCAGGTGATAAAGACAGACCTGGTTACTTAGCTGTTTGTGGAGCACCTCCTGGAGGTATTTGTGCCCTTTACAGTTTTTAAGGGTATTTATCATCAGAATGCATCCTGTTACCAAAGGTACTTGCTCAAACTTGGGCAGGCAGCATATACCAGAGTTAACTCCTGGTCACTGGCACCAAGCAGCTCCTGAGTCACTAGACTCTTCTTCTGCCCTGTGGCTGTGGCATTTAAGGGAAAATATCATTCCCAACTCCCTAGGATCCGAGTAGAGAAATGCAGACCACACAGTATGGCAGTAGTAAGTAGTCAGTAGCCTGGAATCTGGTCCCTGCAGTAAGGCTGAAAATACTGCTACTTCTTCAGTACATTTCTCTGCTGTAGAAGAACATGTGAAATTAAAAATATGAAAAGCCTCCAGCAGAAACAAAGTAAAAAAGACTCACCTACTCCCTCCCCCCAAATTTGAGAATCTCTCTTAAAAACACCACACACCTCTGTTCTTTGTTAGGTGTGTTGCTTGGGCTAAGAGGAAAGGTACAGAAATTAACTAAGATGTGTCGTCTGTTGAACCTAGACTTCTGAGACAATAGAAATTAGTGCCTGAAAAGACTTATTTCAGGGTAGTGTTCTCTTTCTGTTGCTGGATAAAAAAACCTTTGGATATACATCAGTACTGAGCCTGATCAAAATACACCCTTTAAGAGAAAAACACCACCTGCAATAAGTGGAGCTGCCTGAATGGTGAACTGATTTTATTGTTCATGCCAGGATAAAGAGGAAGAAACAGTAACAAAAAGCATGCTAACTGATTTTTTTTTCACTCCAAAACCCCCTGGCTTTGGTTACAAAGCATTACTTTTAGGAGTACTGGGGTAGTGGTTACAGAATTAACTGTAAGAACTAATGAAAAAACTACGTGCTTTTGACTGTAATTTTAAAGTTTTTTTGTTGTTGTTGTTTTTGTTTTTGTTTTTTTTTTTTTGTTGTTGTTTGCTTGTTTGTTTGTTTGTGGGGTTTTTTTTGCTAAAATAAACCTGCTTTCATAAAAGGTGAAAATACATTTGGTGCTGCTGAGCTTAGCAGCGACAGCAGTCCCTCAGATACTAGCTTGCCAGCTTGTGGCCAGTTAAAGCCTTACATCTCCAGCAAGACTGAATCAGTGTGTATATCGAGACAACGAGCTTCATACAATTCAGAACATTTTCTGTTAAAACTCCATACACAGGATGCGGCTCGTGACAGAAATGCAGTTAGAAACACTTTTGCAGCTACTGGACAAAATTCACCCAAGAGTGCATTGAAGCAAAACCATTGCCCATGGCCCTGTGCAACTGTGACTGCCACATTTTGAGTAACCGAGAACAAAAAACCAAAATGATCTTGGCCCTTTTGTACCCTAATGCATCATTTTTTAAGACAAGGGCAACACCAGCAAAATAAAAAATGCTTCCAAAATGACTGGTTTTTAATTATCGAGGACAGATTTTAAGACAGTACATTAATGAAAAAGTATTTATTCATTTTTTTTTTTTTTTAAAGCAAGGTTTATTTGAGAGAAAATGAAGAGAAGCAAACAGTATATCCAACACAAGTTTCTGATTAAATTTGTGCATTAGCTGCTCTCTAATAAAAAAAAGTATATTAAGTCAGGGCTTGAAAAGCTTTAGAGCATCCCCTAAAGCTCTGTGGCTGGTCAGAGCTTCCCGCTTAGACCAAAAATTTTCCTGTGAAACAAGAACTGTAATTCTTTGGAATGTATATTCAAGGTTTTATTTCTAATTCTATCTTTGACAGCCATGAAATGATAAATAAATTCCAAAATCAACAGGCTTCAGGTCTTGGAGAATACTTCAGTTTTGACACATCCAGTACCTCACATAAGAAATATTCTGAAAAATTATTATGGACCTACTCTGTGTAACTCCTGACTCACTCACAGCAAACCACCAAGTGGCTTTTACATCACGTCCTGCAAAACTGTTTGTCAGAGCCACTGACGAGAAGGAAATGAGCATCACACAAGGCAGCTCTGCCAGATTTTACTTAACCTGAGAACAGAAACAATCTTGTCTACTTTCTGAACCCTTGCTCTTGGCCAGCATTTGGTCTTTCACTGGCTCCTTCCCCTCCACAGCCCTTTCCCCACCTTTATACTCCAGTTTAAGTTTCACTCATCCAGCCATCCCCAAAGTCATCTGCTCTTACAATTTGGGTTCAGATGAGTTTGCAGGCTCGGTCCCTAAACTAAAGGTTTAATGGGTTTTTGTGCATCCAACTTCCAAGTCACTCAGACAAAATTTTTAAAATTTCAAGGGCTGTGTTTTCTTCATTTTGAAGTATAAAAGTACAGTCTCCTCAAGCACACAGCAATTGCTAGGAAGCTGATCTGAGCTCATACTGCAGTGGAGAAATAACACGATCACTCCATGCACATTCATAAAAAAATGCCTACCTCGTTCATATTTCAAAACACCTCTGCAAACATTAAAAGCTCCAAGTCTTACATAGATCCTCATTTTCTTTAAAACCCGAGTAATGTCCTTGTCTAGTGACAGACAAGGTTTGAAAAAGAAGTCACATTAAAAAACAGGGCAGGAGCAGGAGCTGCTGCCCCAACTCCCGCTCCAGGGAACTCCTCTAGCCCTGGTGGCCTCAACCTCAGGCTAGCGTGCCCATGCAGGTGGGAGCCCCAGCCACACTAATTCTTTGGCACAGAAACTAATTGCAAGAATACAGCCAACCACTTTTCCTCACCTGAGCCAAGGACCTTCTTCAGCGTTAATTTCAAAAGCATCGCTCCCTCCCTATCCGACAGCTGTAGACAGGACACGCCACAACACTCCAGGACCAACGGTGCCCCCATCCCACTGAACACCACCACCCCAAAACACGCGAGGACAAACCCACTACTCTTCTTACACTGAATTAGGGCTCAGAAAATACAAGATTCCTTTATAGTTAACCACAAGAGAGGCTGACTGCCAGCTTAAAGGTGGCTTTCAATCACAAAACTCTCTGTACTCTGCATTCAGACCCCTTGATTTGGTTGCTTCCCCATCAGCAACAACTGCTGCTTGAGTCAGCGCTTTCCTGAGGGTGACAAGGGGTTTAAAAGAAAGCGTCGTTCCTCAAACGCACCACAGCTCACGGGCAACACGTCTGGAAGACAGAGGAACAGGGGAGGGAGGAGAAAGAGAGAGGGGAGGAGACGGAGAGGGACCGGGCAGCGGGGTGGGGGCCGGCAGCACCCACGGGTGTCAGGGCACCCACAGGCTGCGGGGGTGCTGGCAGGGCTGGGCTCGGCCACCCCGGGGCCCCGAGGGCAGGGTACAGCTCCTGGCTCCAGAGGAGCCGTCAGTTCAGGCATGCTACCGCAGCTACAGCGGGAGGTTTTGTGCATCACTCAGGGTAAAATACCTACATGCAAATACCAAATCTATTTCCTCGGGGAACTTCTGTAGGTGGCTTCACCAAATCGCAGTGCCCTATGCAGTCCATGACATCTTAAATTGGACCCTGCCTTCAGTCCCTCACTTTAAAATACTTTTTTAAAAGGAAAAAAAAACCCAACATGCTAGCATACCTGTTGGACAGACTGTCAGTATCCACCTAAAAGGGGCTGTGCCATAATTATAATGGTACAGCACTCACTTTGATTGGATTGTGGTAAGAATGAGACAATATGAAAAATTTAATTCTCAGAAATTCAGACCCTACATTCATATCCAAACCAGAAATTATTTCCTGGATATTTATGATATTGGATTTTTTTTTCCTTTTTTTTTTTTTTCAACTAGCAATCTAGTATAGCACTATGTAGCTAAATAGTTGTATGCTATTCTCCGTCTAAAAACTGCATATGATAAAGTATCTATCACCCGGAAGGTCGATTTGGAACTATTCAACATACACAACAAAATTCTTCTCAAAATTAACAGTTGTGAGGTCTGTCAACAGTGACTGCAGTGGTTGGGTACATCTAAAGAGAAGATATTTCAGGTGAGCTTTGTGGACACTCCCCAGAGGAGGTTCTCTGCTCTCTTTTTCCCTGCAGAAGATCCCCTCTACAGTCACCATGGCTGGCATCCAACAGCGACTCCAGCCAGGGAGCCCCCGTGGCCTCTGGGAGGTAGAACGTGGCATCATGCGCTCACAGCCATTGCAACGATCTCCCCTGGAGTGGAAACGCAAGGATTTGTTCTGGTTTGCTCATTCTCAGACCACACCTTTGACTTGGCAGAATGATCGGTTTAGTCGCTTGGGAGGGACTGAAAGCAAGGAGTGAACGGGCTCCGTTCAAATGGGAGCAGGGGCTTTCCGAGAAGGTATGCAATTTAGCACCAGGTACCAAACCGAGGGCTATGCCCAAATTGAAACACTGTTGCCTTTCTGCTTTTTCATACATAATCCTCACTCTCACAACAAGTCACTTCATCTGGTTGTAGGAATGTGCCCTCTGCATTGATATTCAAGTAAACTGTCAAAGATTCCAGGTGAATAGCTTAAGAGCAATCAAGTGTAGCATTTAATGCAAAGCTTTACATGTCAAGACAAGTTTATAGTAAAAAAAAAAAAAAAAACAAAAAACAAAAAACAAAAAACCAAGCCAATCTCTCCCAAGATAAAGACTATTTTATATTACTGAAGGTAGGTCACATCCAGTAATGAGAATAATCCAAGCAGAATTTTTGGTACCACACAATCCAGCTGGCTCGTCCCATCCGAGTTAAGCAAAACCACGCACGAAAACCAACACTGAAGATTCCTGGGTGCTGACAGCTCCCACCAACGCATTCACGCTTTTGGTTACTCGACAAACTGGATACCTGCTGTTTCGGTTAGCAGCATACAGAGAAATTGCTCCTATCCCGGGCACTACAAGCAGCACCGCTTCTGAGGCTCGTTCCAGTGTGGAAAAGAGAGAGGTGGCGAGAGTGCGGCCAGGAACAGTCAGCGAGAGGCAGAAGAGCGCGGAGGGAGCCTATGCCATCAATAGAGCACAACCACTGAGTTTCTCTGCAAGATCATAATCTCACTTCCCTTTCAGAAAGTGCCTTGTTTATTCAGTTTTTAATGGTATGGCATAAGGACTCACGTATTTTATAGATAGATACCAAATTGGTATTATCAAAATAAACCATCTGTTTTATAAACCCACTATTTACAAAAACGGTTTCTGAAGTTTTTTTGTTTTGTTTTTTTAACAAAAATTAAACTATACACCAATCTAAGTTACAGAAACAAAAATAACCTTTATAAGATCACATGTATAAAACAAGAAATGAAATGTGATTTTATTTAAGGCAATACTGGGCTACTTCACAAATCACCACCTCAAATATATACACTGCTCCACACTACTAATTTTCTATCACATTCACAACGGATTCTTTAATACCAAATATTGTTTTAAATCTCCAATGTAGCAAACTATTTTTATTCACATTTCCATTTTTATTATGGAATCATAAATGCTTTGTATCCAATTAAAAGCAATGAAAAATGTAGCTATAAGAAAACTATTATATTTATGAGTTAACTACATATGACTATCATCCATAGATACTGGATGTTAAAATTTACAAAAATGAGAGCGTGTCAGTACGTTTAACCTATGAAATGTGATCTTATCCAGCTCCTCTCCTGTAAATAAATGCTTTATGCAAAATAAACTGGATATGGCAGACTTAGCTAGTTTAGTTCAAAAGTTCTTAATTTAAAACGATTAAAGGACAGTTTTAAAAACTTGCTCACTTAGTTACAAATTAAAATTCCGAATATAAATGTGTCATTTAATAGTTTAGACTTACAGACTGCTGGTGGCAGCAAATGATTTACAATAATAAATATATACAAAAAAAAAAAAATGTATCTACAAATAAAGAGAGTACTGTTATACATGAGCAGTGACCTGGTGAAAGATACCAATCACAGACAACTCACAAAGATTTAGTTCATGGAAAGGACAATCTGATAGAAAGTTGAGGTTTTGATCAAGTATTTACAAAACTGAAGCAATTACTCTGTTCTTCAAGTCCCATAGGGATAAAAACAAATAAGACATTTACATGACTCATGTCATGTTTTTTGCTAGATTAAATCACTTCAAAATAAAAGAGCTCCACAGTTACTAGCATGCTTGATGGCTTCCTATTCAAAATAAATTTTATTACAGGTCACGGTTAAACACACTAGGTTTTCAGTATTTTGACTCCCCTTCCTCGGTACCCACAACAATTACTTTTGCAGCTGTAACCTCTGGATTATCCTCCCAGCGTCCTTCGAGCTTTCTCAAACTGACGATCGGTTTCATTTCCTGAAGTTGCTTCAACACACGCTCAGTGCAGTCCTTAAAAGTCTTGTCTAAAACTATCTTTACGTTATCACCACACGGGAGCTGTGACGGGTTGGCAAACGGTACGAGGGTTTCAGTTTCAGAACACGACCAAGTGACATTGTTACTTGCTACGGAGGTCTTCTCGTTGGGCTTTCGCGAGGAGTTCGAATGGGATCCTTTTTTGGTTCCGCCGCTATGGTAGTCTCTTTCAGTGTTTTTCTTTTGCTTCACAGCAGACTCTTCGAGAAACTTGAGGAACGACACTTCAAAACCCATCGGCTTAAATGAGCTCCAGTCGAAAGCTGCAGGCTGCTCCTCGGCTGTTTGAATGGCGACAGCAGTCTCTTCCTCCCTGTGCATGCTACTCGCGTCAACAGGCAGTACTTCCTCAGCTTTTTCGGCCCTCCTCCTCTTATTCTGAGAGACATTTTTTTCTTTGTTTGCTCTTTTTAAGTTGTTTGATTTTTGCTTTTCTGAGGGGCAGGAGCTGGTCTCCTGCAAGTCACTATTTACACTGGAAGAGATTTTTGCTTGATTTTCAGCACTTGAGCAATCCTCATTAATCAGTTTAGTAATGAATAGTTCTGTCAGCTCATCCACTTCATCCTTCTCACCTTTTTCAGTTTCCTTTTGTGGTAACGGAGATGTGCTTGAATCATTATTGCTTGCTATCAAACTCGGTTCAGGCTCTTTCACATCACTTTTTTTATCAGTTTCCTCTTGCTCACAAGAAGCTTCCTTTACTTGTGAGACAGAGTGCTTTTTAGACACAATAAGAAGATTTCTGTGTTGGGAAGTAAATGCTTTGGACAGCTTGTGACATTTATAATGCCTTATTATGTTACTTTCGCTTGTAACTACAGAGGAACATCCCTTTATCATACATGGATACTGAGTTATGAACCTGCTCGTACATTCCGATAAGGCATCGTTCCTAGCCTTTATTGAATACACGTGCTTGCCACGTTTCAGTGAGTAAGCCTTATTTTCCTGAACTTGCATTGCTTTTGAGTTTTTGTTTTCCAAGTTCACGTTTTTCTTTCGTTTTGTTTTCACTGACAGCCTGCTACCTTCTTTTCCTGATCTGTTTTTGAGTCCTCTTTGTTTGGACTTCAACGGTTTCTCCTGGTTTGCTTTGCTTGAAATGTTTTCCTGACCCGGTGTCAGTCTCCTGGGTCTTATTAGATGATCTTTATGCTTGTCATTATGTTTGTTAAAAATATGCCTCAAGAGGTTGGACCTAGTAGCATAAATTCGGTCGCAGCCTTCACAGTCACACTTGAATACGCCGTCATCTTCTACCTTGTTTGGCCTTATCTTAATACCGTGATCTGCCTCGAGATGTACAATGTAGTTAAGATACGCTGTAAACGAAGACTTACACTGAGACTGATCACAAGAAAACCTTCCCGCCTCTGGAGCCGATTTCATGTTTCCAATTTGCTCTGGGGTCATGTCATGAAGCTTCATATAATGTTGTATCAGGCTGGTAACTTCCTGGAAGATGCGAGAGCAGTCATTCACCTCACACCTGAACTCTCTGACGGCAGCTTTGCTTTCCACCTCGTCGCGTTCCTCTCTGCCTGGCTCGTTCTCCTCCTCCACTTCAGCAGAGAAGGCGGGGAGGTCTGATTTGTGCACAGCTTGGTAATGAAGGATTAGGTTTTGCTGTATCGTGAACGCTGCGAAGCAGCCCTGATGGACGCACCGGTATGGTCTATAAGGGCTGTATCTAGTGGGAAACTCCAGAGATTTTGCTACGGGCTTCCTACGTTTTCTCTCCTCTTTTTCCTTCCTGTACCTCCTAACCTTGCGCGCTTTGGGTTGTGCCTGTGTACTACCAAGAGAGGCTGCATTATGTTGCTCCGGTGGAACAGAAACCACCTGGGGAGGTTTTTCCAGTCTTTCAGGAACATTGCTTTCTGGTTTAAGTTTTTCCAAGACTTTTACAGGCTCTACAACTTCCTTTATCTGAGCTTCTTTCACCAACGGAGCTGCAGTTTTGTTTTCTATTATTAGTGTCTGCAAAGTTTTTATTTCAACAGGTCGTGGGGCTGTGTTTACCGTTTCATTTTGAGATCTTCTGCCATAAGGCCTTTTGATTTTTAATTTCACCATCTCCTCTGTCGTAAAATGATGTACAAGCTGACAGTGTGCTCGGAGATTAGAGTTTCTTGTGAATGTTTTTGGACAAGTAGCTACAACACATTTGAAGGGGGCATACTTCAGTTGATGTTTCTTAATTTCTAGTATCATTTCTGCAGTGTACTGATGAACCTTGCCATAGTGTTTAAATAATGCATCTTTTGTCATAGCACTATAATTGCAGCCTGGATCCTGACATACAAAAGGCTTATTAACTTTATCACTAAACTGAATGTTACTTGCCTCTGAGGATATCTGGACGAGGGGTTTGGTTTCGGTTGCTACAACAGGAACTGCTGGTGCTAGCGTATCTGCCGGAGGACACTGGGAAACAGTCTCAGAAATCTGAACGGGTGAATCATTTTCTAGTTTAAGATTTTGCAAGCCCTCCAAAATTTCCAATATTTGCGTATCATCCTTTTGAGATGTCTCAGACTGAGCAGAGCTACTCTTTGCAGTGGTGACGTTCCCCACATGCACAACAAACTGTGTGGGAGTGGGTAGTTTTACACTATGTGCAGAATTTCCCGAAGAAGCCTGTGCATTATTTACTTGCGGGGTCTGTCCTGAAGCAGTGACAGTATCCTGAATTTCAGTTTTCACCTCAAGTATCTGTGAATTCATAGCAGTTTTAATTATTTCCAGCGTTTTTTCAAAGTTCTGCATAACATTGTCTTCTGAAATCTGTTCCTCCGAATTTGCCTGCACACACGAATTTACAGCCATCATTTGGGAATCCCCATTTTCAGTTTTTACTGTTAAAGGGGGTAGTGTTGTATGAGCCTCGAGGTTTGTTTTGAAGTTCTCTTTGATACTGGCCATGAATAACTGATTGTCAACATTATTGAGTTTCTGCGTGAGATTTTCCACCACCGCTTGAGAGCCACAATTTGCCAGCAAGTTGGACTGAAAACTTTCTCCCTGTATTTGCACGTTCCCTTCAGTGCTTTTTGTTAGAAGTCCCATCGTTGTTGTATTATTTACTGCTACTTTCTGCGATGTATTGGGTGCAAGCAAGGGCGCAGCTGCTTTTCTCTTCCTCTTAGAAGCACTGGTTCCCTTCTTATTCAAGTTGATCGACCCTGAATTCTTGGGACTATTTATAACAGAAACTCGTGAACTGTTCCCTGCAAAGTTTTGCGCTGCTGCAACAGTATTAGAAAACGAGCTAGGACATAAGCCGTTTTCAATAGTCTTTAGCATTAAGTCTTCTGTTGCAAAAACAGGCAAACTCTTGCATTCATTTATTGGAGGAATTTTGGCATTAAGGGTCCTGTTTTGGTCTGTTAGCAGGGTACTGGGGTTACAGACTGTCTGCAGCAGAGGCGACACAGTTGAGTTGGGGAGAACGGCTGCATTTATCTGAGTCGTACCAGTGACACAACTTGTGGTAACTACATGTGGAAGTCCTTCAGCGTTATCAAAGGTACTCGGGATGCCTGCAGTTTCCAAGGCTTGTTTTATAATTTGATTTCCTTCCTCATTCCCATTGCTATTAAAGTTAGTCACATTGGCCCGGGGAAACATAGTCTGCAGTAAGGCTGTGGAACGATTTTCAGCTGCAAGTAACTGGAGGAATGATGGATCTTTAAAACACGTCTCTGGGTTGAAGGCAGACTCCTGGGGTTGCTGCAAGTTTAATGAATTTGAGGAAAGAATCATACTGGCAAGCAAAGACTGCCCATTAGCCTGCAGAGCTTCTGGAGAAATTTCCGATCCTTCAAGGGGCTTACAGTAAGATCTCTTAGATAAGTGGCCACCAAGTGATCTAGGATTAGTGAAAACTCTGAAACACCTGCTACAGATAAATTTGCCATCCCTAATTATTGCTGGCCACTTTGCCCGCTTGTTATGTTTTGGCTTCCTTTCTTTCCCATTTGGGCCTCGGCCACGATCTTTTTTCACCTTTTCTGAAGCTGGATGTTGAGAACTAGTATCACTGAAGTTATTTTCATTACTTAATCGTGGGGGAAATATTTGATCAACACTTTCCTCCTTCGGGAAAGCAGAACCAGCGTTTCCTTCTAGTTGCGATGAAAAATTATTTGTGTTATTTTCCAGTTGTGAGAAGACTGAATTTGGAGGATTCTCTGCTGACGAAGGAAAGAGAGACATTGGACCATTTTCTGCAGGTAAAGGAAGAAAAGGATCTGAACTGCCATCAATATTCAGAGGCATAACTGTTTTTGCCAGATCGTCCAACTGGGAAGGTAAAGTTGCACCAGACAGATTTTCCATTTGTGAACATAAAACACTTTCAGGCTCACTTTTAATACGAGTAGACAAACTTGGATTTATGACGCTTTCCACTATAGGCAACACGGGATTGGCCAAATTTTCTAGGTGGGTTGGGAAAAGCGTACTGGAGACATGTTGCACTTGACTGGAACAGGTGGGATTCAAATTAGGTTTGTTCTGTGCAGTAAACGCAGCACCACTGGCACTGACCACTTGTGACGGCATAAGGTATGCGATCTTCCCATCACTCGGCACACTTTGCAGATTGCTGGATTTTCGTGGCTTCTTATTTTTACGCTGCATTTTAAAAGCAGCGTATTGGTCAGGGTGTGCTGCCTTCATATGTTTGCCAATGCTCTGTGATGAGTTGTACGTTCGAGTACACCCCTCAACCTGACAATTGAATTTCTGGATTGGGGCTGCTGGTGACACAGCTGGAACTAAAGAGCTATTTATATTGGGCTGCGAAGGAATAAACGTAATACTTTCTAAAGTTTTTAAAGGCAGGTTGTATAGATTAGCTGCAGCCTTAATACTGTCTTCAATTTCAAGTTTGGAAATGGGTACGCTGTTTCGATATCCTGCCTGATTCTGCACGCTGAATGGATTTACAATGTTCACTTGTCTTTCTAAGCTTTTCGACTCAAGGGCTTCTGGTTTTAGTGTGTCTGAGGTCACAGAAATATTTTGAATATTCTGAGTCTGACTGAGACAGTCTTCTTCCTTTCTCTCTTGAAAAACTGGAAGACAAGAGTCAACCGAGGAGCACAACTGCAGGGCTCCAGGTTTAGTGGTATCTACTTTACTGGTAGTAGCAGCCAATTTACCTCTTTTCACAAAGTTATCTCGGATCTTCTGGTTAACAGCAGGCACCTTAATGCCGCTCGCTGGAATTACCACTTCTGTCTTCACTGAACCCACAGGGGACTGCTCCGAACCAGCATCAGGCAGGGAATCACTTTGCTGCAATACACTCGCTGATGCGTTTACACTTTCATTCCCTACTGGTTCTGCTTTGATTTGACTCCAGACAATGTTTTCTCCTTCGGTAAAACCACTTCGGTTGTCAGCCAGAGGAGATGCCAATTCCTCTTTAACAGCAACTCCATCACTATTTTCACTAGCTTTCGAAGGTTGACTGCAGTCAGGCTGATTAGTCTGGCTCTCAGGCTGTTGCACTTTTTCAGGCTGCTTGCTGTGATCCTCAACGTGCTTTTCTAGCTCGTTCTGAGAACGGTATACCTTTCCACAGCCTGTGACTTTGCAGGTATAGGTATTATAGTGTTGTGCTTCGTGATCATAGAGTAAATAGGCTTCAGAAAACACTCTGCCACATTTGGGAAACATACACTTTGCTCTGAAGACTTGATGCTCTTTCCTGTGTGTCAGCAGCTCAGCGTAACTGTTAAAACCAGCCTTACATTTCATCTGTATGCAGATATAAGGCTTGCTGCCACAGTGCATTTGTAAATGATCATTCAGGTGAGTAACACTTACAAAATGTCGTCTACAGTACTGGCAAATCACTTTTTTGCTTTGCATTTCAAGAAAACGTTTAGCTTCTTCATTATCTTTATGCCCCTTTGCGTGTGCAATTAGATTTTTAAAATATTTAAAGCCTTTTTTACAAAATGTTACGGGGCAGGTAAATTCATTAACAGGTAGTGGCTTCTGAACTGGCACGATCTCTGGTATGTAAGGTTTATCTTTGTCATCGTTCTCATCATCCGAGCCATCATTATCATTAAACACAATGAAATCAGTTGAATAGAGACTGTTCTTCTTAATGGGTCGCTGCTCCTGTTTGGATACAGAATCACTTTTCTGATTCTCATTGGCAGTTGCTATTTTAGGAGGTCTTCCCAGTCTTCTCAGTGGTTTCATAGCAGCCAATCTCTCTTTGCTGGATTTTTTAACATGCAAAGTTACATGGGGAACAAAGTTTTCTTTAGAATTAAAATTCTGGGCACAAATAGGGCAACTGTAAATTCCATCTTTATAATGTTTTTGTGCATGCCTAACTATTCTATGACCTAGGAATTCTTTATCGCATAACACACAATACTGCATATAAGCTTGCCAGTTCCTAAATCTAGCTGATATGAACCCCCTTTCTCTGAGTTTTTTAATTTCTCTCTTTTTCTGCTTTTCATCTCTGATACCCTTAAGAAGGCTTGTAGCTTCATCAAAAGTGCCAGCAAGCCCATTCACAGAAGTTTCTTTAGTCTCTTCTTGGCAATCCTCAACCTTCTCATAAACTTCACTATCGTTTAGTTCGTCTATTGATGACACGATGGATGCCTCCTCTCCCATCAGTGCCAGACACTGACGCTTGAGAGTTTTCCAGTCCCAGAATTCTGGATCAAAAGGCCACTGAGTTTTCAGTACAAGTAAGAGCTCACAGCGCAAAGAATTTGGTATTGGAAGATTCTCTTCATCATACTTCTGGTCAGGCTGATTATATAGCATTTCAACAGCATAATATGCATCCACAGTGGGTTCGAGAAGAAATTCACTCAGCTGACAAGCACGTTTAACCTCCAAATCATCTGGAAGCAAGCAGGAGATAGTCTTGCAAATAGATATCTTGACATCTGTATTTTCACTAGATTCCAAGCGCAACGCTTTCACACACAGTTCAATGCACGTTGCAAGTCCAGCACCATCGATCTGTAAAGCAAGACTAATTTTAGTAAGTCAGCTTATCGTAACTCTTGTATATTTGTAAATAAAAGATATCATTATTCAACCCTAAGTGTCAGAAAAAATGCACTGCAGTTGATAATAACACTTAAAGAAACACAGTGGTTTGTCTTTAGATGCTATTCCTTAAGTTCCATAATTTGTTTTCACGCTACTAGGTAAAATGAAAGTTTACATACAACTAAAACACAAATTAATTGTATGTTCTGACTGGTTTGAGGACTTTAGGGCTGTATGTTAGAGGTGTTCAGTTTATATAAGAGCATTATTGAGCCTTTTCCATGAAATAAAGCCTGCCAGTTGTGTCACAGTTATTTGAGATGTGCTTCTATGGAGCATTAAGTTAACACTGGGTAGAATTCAAATGGTAAAAAGTGCTACAGATAATGCAAGAGAAGCACATGATCTTCAAAAAGGTCTATAATTTGGGTATCACTTAAGGTATAAAGGTTTATTTTTAAAGATTATGCCACTTCAAAATCAACTAAACACATGGCTTCATTCCAACGGAAAGTAGTAACTATAGTTAAGTGTTCCATAGGTCATGTGGTCTTTTCTCATTTATACCCTCAGTCAACATAAATTATATTTATGTCCACTTTACAGTCCCTTTATGCTGCGAAGGATGCACAGAAAGGCTGTCTAATACATGAGAATGAAGTCCAGTGAGTTTACAAACGCACAAGTCTGCTACCCATATGGTCTCCAATTTCTGCCATCAGTGAAATGATCCACAGCTCACTAGCGAAGAATCAGTAGGACATGGAGCAGACAGAGCTCTTAATACCACAAGCCTCTGTGAAAGTTATTTTCCTCCCCCCTCCGTAACTGTAATTTAGTTCAGATTTTTGGAAAAAATAATCTTTAAGATTAGAAGCCCATGATTAGCCCTACCAGAACACAGAGAAAGGAAAAAAGCAATTTTTATCCTTACATTTAGTATAAGGAATTACAGAAATCCCCCAACTAAAAGCTTTCAGGAGAGCTCAATTTAGCTATAAACATTAAATAATGCAACCATTAATGAGAAGAAGCTAGGAAAATTGGATGACAAGGTTAGCTGAGATAGAGGAACAGAGTTTTTAACACAACACTGGATTTAAATCCACAAAAGGCAAGAATTTAATTTATCAAAACAAACAACATTCTTAGTGGCAGTTCAAAAGGTTGTTAATCTGGGTCTTTTTGTGTTTTGTTTTGGGGTTTGGGTTGTTTTTTGGTGTGTGTGTTTTTTGTTTGGTTGGTTGGTTGGTTTTTTAACTTTCTGTAATTTTTTCATATATTAATACACAGCCTACATTTCCTCTCCATTTTCTGTAATATCCGAAATATGGAAAATAACAAAGAGGAAAGTTAGGACCTGCTAACAGAAAATACCTCATTTAGAGGACATGTACAATAGTAGAAGACTATAACCTCACCTTTAGTTTTACAATCATCTTAATTGTGGCATCCAGCTTTTCTGCTTATGTCCCAATTATTTTTTTTTTTCCCAAAGGAACAAAGAATTTTTAATGATTGAAAATGAATCAACTTATAGTTTACCTGCAGAAGGAAGTTGCTACGGCCTTTCCTAAAACCAATTAGGATACCCCAAAGCTGATGCTACACAAAGTGACAGGATGTCTAAGCAGCTTTCATAAATTTTCCTGATTACAGTTACATTAAAAGTGCCAAAAATATTCTTTCAGGTGTATCCTTACCTCTGAATTAATTACTTTAATCAGGAAGAAAATGTGATAAACAGTCTTAGTTAACACAGAAAGTTGTCGACATCTCTCTAGATACACTTGAATAGAAGGCTCTACCCTCTGCTGCAGTTTACTCCAGAAAAGAGTCAGTTCCCTAGAACAAGAGAACAATATTTCAGGGCCAGCAATGCAACCACTAATCTGATCACAAGAAATGCAAGGTTGAGAACAGTTTCTATTTTGTCCTTGGGAAATTAAAAAATGTGATTTTATTCACACCTTATCTTACAGAGAAAAGCTTTTATTAATGCACCCACATTATTAGTATCTAATTTTCTAAATTATTACAATGACTCAATTCCAGAAGGACAGATGAGAATAAAACCAGTATTACCACAATTTATGCTACCTAATTTACAGACTCGTGATGTGGTCTTGAAAAACATCTTGCTAAGTAGTTTACTCTTCACTCCACAGACTGGAATATTACACTTCTGAATTCTTAGTAATTACTAGCAGCTATAGGAGGATGGCTTTTCTCTGTGGCAGATACATTTTTCTTAAGCCCCCAAAGCCAAACAGTATTACTGTATCTACATTAACTCACTAGTTCATTCCTCCTTAGGTGCAAAGTATTTAGTATGTTGTGGAATGGTGTAACCCCCCAAAATTTATCAGAATCTGTTAAAACAAAATCCTGCATTAGCAGATGTTCTCCTGCTGCTTCACTTAAAAAGGAGGTGCACGATCAAAGCAAATCCTTCAGGAATCATACAGGTTTGAAAGTACAACCAAACTGTTAGTTAGAAATTCAGATCCTAGCAGCACAAATATCTGCCAACAAGGACCAGTTATTTGTTCCCACATTAATGAAGGCAAGCCCTAAACAATAAGCTAGATGAAGATACTTATTATTTTAGTTATAGTAGTAAAGATCTCCTTCTTTTCTAGAAGTTTGTTAGAGAAAGAAATACTGTGTTATGAAATAAGGACAGATGGGAACAGTACTCACATATTAAACATTGACATAATGCTGACTAGCTGTCTCCAGATACTAAATTCCTTATTTCTACAGTGTAACACTATTGTAAAGAAAAATTACTAACCAGCTACTGGTATTTGTAAATGTCTCATCATACATGCAGCCTTTAAATTCCCATAACGGAAGCTAATCTTGTCAAATACTACTTTTTTCCTTTTCCTTTTTAGTTTTCCAAGAGCCTTATCTCCTTCCTGTTTAGCTCACAGATTTTATCAGCTAAAGATAGTTAATTTATGACTTATCTATCAGCTCTATGTTCCCAAAACTAATCTTTGTTCCACTAGACAGAAAACAATATTTAAACTCACCAGGCACAGTACATTTCTCCTTGCTGCAGCTGGCGAGATAAAAATGCTGCACATAAAATGAGAGCGCTTTTTTCATCTCCATCAGATTCTAGGTTACAGATCATTTCTAGAGCATCTTTGCAATCTACTTCGGCAATCTAGAAGGGAGAAAACAAGACCAAGACTAAGAAAGTGGTTTCATTTTCAGACATATAGTCATCTGATCCTTTGCAAAAAGACAATCATTTAGATTTTAGTGACTATTTAACTCTACCAGATAGAGATAAGCTTGAAAGCACATCAGTGCGTTTCTAGATAGAGTGTCAAAACTGATTATACCACCAGAAAAACTCTCATTAAATGAACATAGACTTGTTTCTCAGACAGAAGACTTATTTGCATCTATGGTCCCAGTCACCTAAAAATTTTAAAGTACAACATTAATTATTCGTATCTATTACATACACATGACAACTGTAATATGCAGATTTATAACTTTAAATTGCAGCCTAATACAAAAATATTATTAGCTAAAATTCTAACCCAATTTACTAGTCACTGACTTTATTACTGCTTTAATACAACAGCTGGGCAATTAATGAATTCAAAGTTTAACATGAATGTTCCAGTATTTTATAAACTCAAAGATAAAAAGGGAAACTGTACAGTAAGAAGCAGGTCAACTGGATGCTTTTCTAGAATAAAATTACAGTTTCTGCAACGTAACTTAGTTGTTCAAGCAACGATGGAAGCACTTAGTTTTGTAGCAACACAAAGGAAAAAAACAGCGTTGCCCAGTAGTACTAGACAGTTTTATCAGTACACTTGTAACAACTACGGTTTAGTTTGATTCTCAGCACACTAGTTTGATTATATCAATTAGTGCATCTGCCAGGACATGCCGGTATTTATTATGTGACATTGGCAGTTGAAGAATAACTTGACCATTGCAATAGCACTGTTGGGAGTCTGTCTCTCGAAGTCGCAAGACCACCCAAAGCAAGAAACAAGAAGCGCCCACTGCAACACCCAGCTAGTCTGGTACTTTGGGTAAGGTGGCAGCACAGCTTGGTTGGGCACCATGGTATCCAGCAATCAACCCGCAATTTTGAAGAGTACAGCAACACATTTTTTCCTCTAAATTGACACTGTAAATATACTAATAACCCTTCACTGAACATCATTAGAGGTTTAGTAACCTCAAAGTCATCTTCTCAGAGAGGATCGATTAACATAACTGTAATACCAATTTAGACTGAAGGTCTGCTTTGCTCAGTGCCCCATCTCAGACAAGGACCATCAGCTAAAAGCTTATGGAAGAACATAGGAAACTGAACTTACAATAAAGGGAATTTTTTTCTGAAATGTTTTTCCAGGCTCTCAGAGTCCCCATGGGACCCAGCTTCCAGCAAAGGTCTGTACAGGTCCAGCCACCAAGTCTGTAAGTCTAGCATTTCACATACTGCAGATTTGAATTCTTCACATTACTGAAGCAAACTATTAAACTAATCCAAGCTGAAAATGAGCTCAAATTCTACTTTTCTGTGTATTCTGAATGGATATCAAAATTTCCATACTGCTCAAGTGAGCTGTCATTCTTTACAGCTTACCTTTTTTTCCCCATTTTCTTACTGTTCTCACACTATGAAATGGATATCCTTCTCAGTTCAGAAGTCCATCTTGACATGTCATTAGTATATCTGCCTTCTCTTGGTAACATATGAGCTTTCCAGAATGGTTAGTAATACTGCCAACAGGGCTGCAGCTGAAGCTGCAAAGCTAAGCAACTCAAGCAATCCAAGGTTTGGCAGTATCTGAATTAGGTTCTCTGTGATAATCTGGTTTGAACTTCTCCCTCTGTTATGGCACCCTAAGAAAGAAGGCTACCCCGCTCCTTTTGTCCACGGGATTCAGGGTTCATTCACTGGCTGAGCCCATTCTGATTGGGGAGTGTGGTGGGGCGGAGTAAGGAGGGAAACACGTTTGCAGGGTCGCAAATTCCAAGTTCCATTGAGTCTTCATCAAACCCACGTGAGATTGCAGAGCCCTGTCACAGCTCCTCCTGAGCCCGTTCTGGCAGGGCCTACAGCAGCCAGAGCTCGGAGGGTAAGATCGATCCAATCCTACTGAGCATCAGAAGAAGATGCCCAGTGAGAAGCTGTCATCTTAGAATTTCATCTGTATCGACGTTAGGAAACTTCTCCAACTCTAATCACTGCATGGTTTTCATCCCTTTAAGATCAATTTCAACATGCTTAATACTTATTATGAACACAAAAGGATGACAGACAAAAAGACAGCAGAGAGATGAAAACAGTCAAGAAAACTGACAGCTGCAGATTGCTTTCCTTTAAGAAGGAAAAAAGCTCATAAAACTTTGAGGCGGAGTAAGAAATGAAGTTGTCACCTGAAAGAATGTAGAAGACCAAAGCTGTCATCTCTTCTTTGACTTTTGCATTTAAAAAAAGAAGGATTTTATATTTCAAACCAGATCAAATATCTGATTTCCCCTTCAATTTCACTGGGGCATTTGTGTTTAAAAAAATGGTCTATTTATTCTCTGAACTGAAAGTAGCATTTAAAGGGCCTTATTCTATGTACTAGGTTCTACACAAAAAGCTATAGTTAAAATAGTAAGAGGGGGAAAACCATTATTTTTACCTTACTAACAGGATCTGAGGCAGTTTTTAAATACTTCAAGCAAAATCAAACATAATGTTGTGGCAGAGCCAGAAAATGCCTACTAGTGATCTAATACTACATTCCCACAAGTGTTTTAATAGAGTCATTCCTAGTCAGTTTAAAAGTGACTTAAAAGAAAAAAACAAAATACCAAAAATATTTTAATCATATTTTAAAAGAAAAATCTCTTCTACAGAAAAACAGCCTATGATTAGCGACTTTGTTATCATTAAAGAAATAAGTCTAAAAAAAGCTCTTCGTTTTTTACTTACTTCTTCCATTAGCTTTTCATTTGGTGATCCTGAACAAAGACAGACCAGGTAGGTTTGCTTGAAATTGCCTTTTGCACTGATTTCTGGATGGTCAGAGCACAGTTTTGCCAGGGCAGTAGCTTGTGTTAATTGCTTCGTTTTCATTAGGTGCTTAATACGCATATCCAGCAGGACAGGGCCTTCAAACACTAAAAATTCATTCACTTCAAAGAAAAAACAAGTCAAAACATTACATACACGTTTCACAGCAGGTTACAGAGTTAACAGATGGCATTTACTCATTCATGGTTAATCCCTAAAATTTATACAAATCAAAAAAGACACAAAAGGTATGAAGCACAGACAGGAAAAAGCATTTCTGAGAACTCTGCTTGTTTATTATAAGGATTCCCTGCCACTGGAGAACTTGTATCTGTTTGCAAGTTTTAATACATTCTAATTTCTTGGCAAAATAGCTGCACACAAAACAGATTTAGAAAGCATATAAATATTCAAATATTTAGATACCATTTAATTATAGTTCTACAGTAAGACAAATAACACAAAATCACTTCCCTCACATCCTTCTTTATGTGTCTGTGCTATGCCTTTGCCAACAGTTGCCTTTTAAAGACCTTGCTACAGAGGTATAAATGTGATAAGTGTAGAAGCATCTGAAGCTCTTTGTATCGGTGTTGAATATTTTGTATTACACATCCATACAATGCAGTCAAACTCCTTTAAAAGTTTTTCAGCCAAATAAGTTTCCTACAAAAAGGAGGCTAGTCTTGTACACACTTGACTGTGCATAATTTAAAACTCAAAGACACAGGAATGGCTGTATTTTAGTGAACTATTCTTGGTAGATGTGCTGTTATCAGAGTTAAAACTCCAGTGTCTACACTAAAAATCCAACTCTAGGTGTTTCAGTGGAAGGTGTAAGAATCCTTCAAAAAAGGGCAGCACATGGTAATGTTCCTACTCTCACGTATACATCTGAGGTCTCATCCAGATCTTCAAAATTACTTCAGCTTTGAAGCACAAGGGTTTAATAGTACTACCAAATTATTTAAAGTTAGTTATTAAAATGAGGTAGACACAGAGACGATTGATTTTGTTTAATCCTTTTGACATCAACACCACCACCCCCCCCGAAGACAACTGTTTCCACAAGCTGGTTATATACTGAATGAAAAATCTTTTTGGTTTTCAACTACCCACATCTTAATTTCATGACGCATTCCCTCATCTTTTAAAATGCCAGAATTTTCTACTGTTTTTTGTTTCCATTCTTTCCTGAAAAACAGCAGATCCGTCATATTATTTCGAAGTTAGGGTAAAACCTTGGTCTTTTCCAGATTTTAGTAGTTTCATCATCCCTTCCTGAATCCTTCTGGGCATCTGAAGTGTTCACTTTCTGACACATATTGGTAGAGACATTTGTTATATTCCTCTTAATTCACTTGCCTTGAATTTCACTTGAATCATGTTGCCCATTTACCTCATTTATATTTTCTTGATTTTGAAAGTCCTGTTCAGTCTTAATGAAATTATTAATTTCAGGATCTGCAAAATTAATTACCTCTCTAATATGTGGATTGTTAGTATACTGAACAGGGGGTTTACTGAAAGAAAAAAGAACATCTCATTTTATTCTTTGCTTCCTCCCATCCTAGTTAGTTTTTGATTCATGACTGTCTTTCACTTTTTCTCATGATTTCCCCTTCTAGCTACTTACACAGGATATTACTAAAAGCCCATCTTGCAATTGAAATTAGGTCAACTGTTTTTTGTCATTTTAGTGCACAGAAATTTAGGGCAGAAAATACTGCCTTTTGCAGAAATCAGGCCCGTTAGACCCCATCATTATCTTTCACGCATTTTCAGATTTTATTAACTAATTTCAATTATGATTACAAATAATCATAATCATAAAAATATGATTCAATTATTATTACAAATAATCAGCAATCGCTCACTGATGTGTAAGAATATGCAGTCAAATGCAAGCTCTTTCTTCCTCTCTCCATGTTGATGATGAGATGACCAGATTTTATTCATGTAGGAACAAAGGAAAACTAGAGTGCACTAACAGACAATTGGTAACCATTTTTGTGTTTATTATAGGACATTTGCCTTTTAAGCAGCAGAATAAATGTTCCTTGAATGTTATTACCAATGCCTTATATAAAACGTTCATACTCTTGTCAACCCACAAATGACCCAGTGATTAATTACATTCAATAGTTTTAGCCTTGCTCTTCCTCCTACCAGGTACCAGTAATCCTTCCACCCACAGTGCTTACTCCCAGCTAGTCTGTCTGGAATAACACTGGAACATTTTACCTTATTTCTGTAACAAGATACAGGAAGACCTTAGACTTTAAGCTATACTGGTAACCCAAGACATTTCACTGTGATTTATTATTATAATTACTGCATTTAATATTTTAGAGACTTTGTTCCATCTACTAGTCCTCAGTAATCCCCTTCCTTTAGTGTTTACTGCTTCAGCCAGCATACCTTGCATAAGCATCAGAACATTTTCTGTTACCTTCTCAACAAGACACAGGAAGACCTCAGGGTTAAAGCTACATATTAGCTCTTAAGTCTTTATTCTAATCCAAGTGATCATAATCATTACAGTTAACATTTGAAAGCTCACTGAAAACAAGTTTTAATCATATTTATTTCATAACTCTCAAATGTACAACATTTTGAGACAAGAAACAGTGCTGAGGTTGCAGGAGAAAGTTTATGGCGGGTAAGAGTCTTAAGGATAAGATTTGGGGTTTTTTTTAACATTTTATAAACATATTTTATTGTGCAATGTCTATTTCAGAAGTTATTGTAAACAAATTGTTAGTTTACCATAACAAATATAACTTCATAAAAATGCTTCGAGGCACAAGTGCTTTTTCAGCACAAGATAGTTAACCTCTATAAGCACAAAACCTTAATGAGAATGATATAGTTTATCAATAGCATGATTCTTGGAAGAATTATTAAATGTTGGTTTTGTGCTATGCTCCACCACTCATTAAAATTCACAAATTTATCTTTGTGCAAGGCATGTGCAGAATTCATATAAAATTACAGAACTAACATGAGAGAAGAAAGGACAAGCAGATGACACCTGACAGATGGTACTACAATCTATTAACTCTGGCAAATAAACTTGGAGATACTGGGATCTAACCTTTCTGACACAGTTTCCCCATTATTCCCTTGAATTCCATAGGTGGAGTCTCAGGTCATACTACCAAGTGATTCCATGTCAAGTCCACAAGAACTACTATGAACTTTTATTAAAGGTAATACTTATACCATACATGAATTAAAGAGAAAATATAATCCATAGATTAGTAGCACACAAGAGCATGAATAAGCCGCGAGCACAGTTCTGTAGTAATAAGTTCTCTACGGTGGACAGTCCACATGTATGTCACGTTTTGGCTGACTGGAGGACTTGAAGAGTACAAAGCAAAGAATTTTTGCCTTACTGAAAGCACTCACAATCCTACTAACTCTACCCTCTGCCAATTCTTGGGCAGGTATAGATTAATCTACCACAGGCCTTTTTGTCTTCTCAACCTCGCTCTGGCCAAGGAGGATGGAGGCAGGAGGTGAATGTACATGTGGACTATCCATCTCAAAGAACTTCAGTTACTAGCCAGTAACCTCTTTAGTCATCTTCAAGTGTTAGTCCACATGTGCGTTCACACTGTGGGTGACTCTGAACTGTACTCAATGCTTTCATATTTACCTGGAGCTGGGTCTCAGAATCCTTCATGCAAACAACATCTCAGCACAATTCTGCTGAATGCAGCACCAATCCTGGATGCTTCTACGATGGCATATTGTCTGGTGAAAGGGTAAAAGAAGTTCCAGGTGGCTGCTTTGAATATACCCAGAGTGCAAACACTATTTTTTTTTTTTTTTTTAAAGTGAGGCTGATAGTACCATTCGACTTCTGACGACGGATGTTCTGGTTACTGAAAATAGTTCCATGCTGACTGTTTAAATACTAACCTGCCTGTTATCCACCTTGATAATCTCTGAATAGTGATGATTGTATCCTCGAACGTCTTTTCAGTGGGACATACTTCAGAAGTCTGCCTACTACATTTAAACTTATGAAAAATTCAGGAACTTGATTCTTGACATCCAGGTTTAAATCTCTAAAGATAATCAGAATTGGATACAAAAAAGCAGCAGCAGCCTGTCTTTTTGTAGCATTATCTCAGATCCTTTTCCTCTAGACAGTTCCTCCACTCATCCTCAGTACCAGCTGAGGAGATACCAATGACAGCTTTGAAGGATTTCACCATCACTGCAAGAAAATGAGAACCTTGAGGATGGAAAAGCAGGTTCATGCTGAAGAGCACAAGCCACACTGACAGAAATTGAAGACAGAAGTGCAGTAGTAGTGTTTTAACATTGTATAGGCTATCACATAACCCAAAACACTTAGACATACTTCAACTTTAAGTCTTTGGTACACAAAGGCCAAACAGATCAGCAACACAACTTCAAGAAATATAAATTCTGGTTGTCATAAATTCAGATCAGCTTCAATGCATGATAAAAATCAGTCCTGATCTCAAATTAAGATAGCTGGTAGTTCAGGAGGAGGCTACTAAGACAAAAGACCCACAATCATGTGAAAAATTAAGAGTGTTTTACTAAGGTTTCCTTCCCTAACCAATTAATGAAGCAGAGGAACATGGAAATTCTGAAAATTCTTCTTTGCAAATATAAGCGCTTCTAGTTCATCATGTGTGATCTCAAGAAAAAAGGCAGTCATGCAGCTGAAACCTGAAGTTGTAGCAGGTCCAGTCAACGTGCAAATGCAGTGCAATGTCTGATAGCAATATGAAAACAGCTGATGAGCACTAAAGCAGGTGAACCATTTACTTTTAGACTAGTCAGTGATCACAGCTAATACTGCCATCTTGAATTTAATGATGTGGATAAGATATTTTATTTTCACATGTCTAGGATATCTTTCCAGATTTGCTTCTGCTTTTGTACTGATACTAGCTGTTTCCACTGTCTGAGGTCAATAGAAACTGGTTGAGTGGTGCTCCACAGCAAAGAATGTTACCAATGTGTTCATAAGGGATCTCTGAAAGATTATTTGAGAAGATTGGTACTTTGCTATCCTTGTGATCCAATGGGATCATGTAACTTTGGGTGATCTCTCAAGTCTAAGATGTCCACTATGCTACATAGACAAAATTTGACAGACATTCTTTAAAAGCACAGGAGATAGGTTGAGGTGAAAAAAGAAGAAAATTCACATGAACAAACAAGTAGTGTACAGATCCTGAGCGCACTTTTGAGAGATAATACTGTAGAGGAACCACAACCTGATTCAGGAAGTTGCAGGCCTAGTCACATAATTGTTGTGGGTCCTGTTGAGTAATGACATGGGCAAGGGACGGAAGCAAGAAACAACAAGATACGAGGAACTGGGAGAAGGATGTCTCTTTATGGCTCTGAACTGCTCCAAGCGAGTGGAAGATTTCCTGGGTATTCTTCAAATGAATGTAGATTGATTCATGACACAATACCAAACAGATTCAGGAAACTCAAAAGGAGTTTCTCTCAGATAGCAGCCACGAGCAGCATTATCAACTCCAGCTGTCCACAAATTACATCCAAAAACCCTGCTGACAATTCAGTTTCTGCAAATAAATTCTCTTTGGAGTCACCAGTCAAGAATAAGAAATAATATATTCCTCAGTTCATCAGGAATCCAAATTCCTCTTTCCAGGACAGTCCTCCATACAAAAGAGATTAGCATTGTGGAAACAAGCACAGACCCAAATGACAATGCTGATGTTCCACTTGCAGAGGGCAGAGAGATAAATTTTCTTCAGAAACAACTCAAGTCGGGTATCAGCGTTACAATAGCTCCCAAGAGGAAATTCTTTTATTTGGTGACATCTACTGCACAGAATCTGGCAATTTAAGACAGGCTTTCCAACATTTGTGGTCGGAGATGGGCTAAAATTCCAGGACAATGTCAATGTTTGTCACCCAAGCACGTGACAAATCAAGTGGCTGGAGAATATTTCCAGTGTGAAAAGATTTTATATGTGCACACAAACACAAATCTGTGTCTACTGTATGCATGTAGTTTCTACAATACAGTTCAAGACAGATCTTACTATTTTGTATTGTAGTACTGTATGAACATCTTGTAGTTATATTCCTCAGCAAAGAAATTAGTAACAAGCATGCCGTTCTCATCAGTGTTTCAAACAGCTGGGTGTTCATCCTGTACTTTTTTTGAGCTCCTTAGCGCAATGAATCCTTACAGACACACATTCATCAGAAAACTGAGTTGTGCCCAAGGCAGTCAGGAGTAAGGCAATTATTTAATGACATGGCACTCGGAGAACTGTCTCCCTAACATCTTAGGAAATGAGTGCTTCCTGATCATATTTAGGTGGAACCCATGCAACAATCCATTCCCAAAACTAGGACAACAAGAGAATAGTCCAGTTCAGACAAGTCTGCATTTGCTTGGCTGTAATCAGAACAAACCAGCTGTGCTGTGTGGTCAGAGAAAATTAACTTGTCTCTCATAGTATGTCCTGAGTTTGTCCAATTTGAAAACAGAGGAATTCAAAAGAATCTGCCTCTGAGATGAAACAGACACTTAGTTATGCTTCCTACAGGAGATGCAAAGAGGCAAACAGACCTTCAGGAGTCAAAGACAGAGGCTTTCAAGAAGAGATAATCATTGACCTAGAATTCGGCAGATATTCAGCTATGCTAAAGATTCTGAATAGGTTATAATTATTCTGAATAGGTCATAATTGAGACTACCAAGACTGAAATAAAACAGACATGAAGAAACAACTGAAACAGAGGCAACAAAAGCTTAAGAGGATATTAGGAAAAATATCTCCAGTCTCAACTAGTTTCATCTCCAACAGATGCGTTTACACTAACCATTATTCAAAGACCAAGCTGATCAAATCTGCCAAATGATAATATTCCAGTGTAACAAGCTGACTACGTAAATATTCAGGAACTTCTGAAATAGCAAATGCTAAAGGCAACATTAAGATCAAAACCAAAATCCTGTAAGCGAAGTTTACGAATATTACAGATATTGTTATACTGGAATTAAAGTTGAAGACAGTTGTCCACTGAAAGTGAGCAAGTAGTACCTAGTGGGAGTGCTGGATTACAGACAACAAAGGCAGCTCTCTCGGCAACGGACTTTCGGTATTACTGAACTATCCTTCAAATTGCTAAAATATCCTTCAAATTAACAAGAAAATGACATAAAACAATGCAGTATTACAGAGGATGACAGTAACTAGAGAACAGCTTGTCAACTGAGTAACAAAAATATGGATACATAGTATGACAATCTTGCTACTGACATAAGTAATAACTATAAACAGGAGTCAGTCAGTCAAGTCCAAGGCAGAAGCATCCTTGAGCAAATAACATTCAGGAGCAAAAGGAATCCTGAAATGTCTCTAAAAAACTTTGCAGGAAAACACCGATAAGATGAATAGACATCAAAACCAGAATCATGAGGGAGTTCTTAATATACCTCAAATACAAGGCAAGTAAAATATTAATTAAACCTTTCTTTCAGAAGTACCTTACAGTTAAGAGGACTAGAAGGTGGTTGATATGAAGCTAGTAAAAGGGTACTCTGGGGGACTCTGAGAACTGCATACCAATCCAAAATCTGTATAGAAGAATAATAAATTATTAAAAGAAGTAGCAAAATGCAAATCTTGTGGAAGAGTAAGCACGCCTTTTGACAAAAAAAAAAAAAAATTATACGTTTGCTGGACTTATCTAACAGAGTTATGATAACATGAATATGGGAGATCAAATTAATTTTCTAAAGGCATTAAAAGAAGTCCCTCAAAACCCTTAAAGATACCAACCTAACTTGTTAGTAAAAAGAAGATCCTCATATGGATAAATCATCAGTTAAAAGGAAAAAGAAAACAAACTCTCAGTGGGTTCCCTGAGGATCTGTAGTAGGATCACTGCTGTCCTGCATTTTTATAAATATTTGGAAAAGGGGGATAGAGAACAAGGTGACAAAACATGCTGATAAAAGCAGGGTAGTAAAAACATGCCAACTGTAAAAGACTGAAGAGGACAGCCCTCCACAAATGTGGCATAACAGACAAAATTAAAATGTTGATAAAAATCCCGAAGTGATTATCAAGGGGCAAAAATGCAATCCTAACCACACATACAGAAAAACAGTCTGTGTGTTAGGGGAAAAATCTAACATTGTAATAGGTACTACTCCTTATGAAAGAAATCAGGACTAAACCAGGCATTTTTAAGAAAACATCTGTTCAATGCTCAGTCAAGGAGCACATCTAACATTAGGAAATATTACAAAAGGAATGCAGAATGAAGTGGAAAATCAGCGAGGCTACATGCTGACTGCTGAATAAACCTTTGCTCCCCCATATGAGGAATGGGACAGTAAAGCTAGAAGACAGTTTGGAATAAAGACACTACAAAAAAGATGCAACATGACACCAGTCCAACAAATAATGTCTTACTGAAAAGATGCATTCATTTAAAGATGTGAGAATAGTTTGCTTTTTAATAAATAGAGAGTATCACACAAAATAAGCAGGCATCAGGCTAAAAGGAGGCAGAGTAAGAGGAACTACTTTACTTGACGGGAGAACTGTGTAACTACCGCAGACACCTAGTAGTGATGGTTCATGCAGATTCTAAAACCAATTTGGCAAAGAATAAAAAAAAAAATCAGCTAAGACTTACTAACACAAGGATACTACTTCTGAACTGCAAATCCTTAACAATGGAAATAATACATCAGGAAAATATCATCGTGTGCCTTTGCTGATCATATACTCTTCCTTACGCAACCACTGTTAGCCATTCTCAGAACTCTGGTCTAAATTAATCTTATGTAATGGCTCTCTTTGCATTTCATAACTGAGTAAATGCCATATTCATTAAAAAAATATATTTTTTGTTTTACATCGATTTTTGTTTACCAGCACCGAACTTACCTCCCTTCACATGGCTTACAAAGAAAATAGCAAGACCTCCATCTAGGATTACATTTTACACAAAATCCCAACATTAAATTATTTGTATATCTGTACATACTGTCTTAATAATTCAGACAACTTTACAAGTATATTTATTTGTATAGTTTATAAATTATCACATAAACTATATTCAACAAAATACTTCCATATATCATAATAATATTTCAACATAATATAAAAACGAGGCATATTTTATCCCAATCAGCATTTTAAATTGTACCTTTATCTGGATCCAACTGTTCCTGGGAAAGAATACCACACAACACTGGGTTCTTCCACACCCCTTTCTCTTGAGTAAGTGTAGTTAAAATATGCAGCTCCCGGCTGCCATTTTCCATCAAGTTTTTATGGGCCACCTGAAGGATATATTTTACAAAACAAAGTATTGTTAAGAAAAACTAAGAATATGTGTCTTTTCTACTCTTTTATATCTTCTGTCAAAAAAAACCTTTACCAGAAAAAGAGTTAAATATATAACAAAACAATCTTAACATTCAGCCTATATAGGTTTCACTTCTGCCTCTGTTGTCTAAGATTTAGGCAGAGAAACCAGAAAGATTGACTGCCCCAAACTTGCCTTGAGATTTATTAACAGGGCTACTTCTTAAATTTCTGAAAGTAGATTTTGAAATAGGCCTCCCTTTCAAAAATAGATGAGCAAATTCTCTGGTCCACATATTGGTCTGGAACCAGCTGCCTAAACTCTTATTTATTTCAGGCTCTTCAGCAGCTCAATTTTTATGCACTGGAGACACTGAAAAAAAGCTACTTTGTAAAGGCAAAAGACTTAAGCTGTAAGACCTTACTGCGTGGTTCTATGCAAATGATGAAGTCAGGGTGGAGTCTTAAAATCAATTACAATAGTTCCTACCACATTTAGATACAAGGATAGATTCTGGAAACAGAGGGATGCTTGGGGCAAATTAAATACCTTAAAAATTCTGTGGCTTGCATAGCAATATGCAACTTACACTGGTCCTACAAAGAAAAAGAAGGGCTCATCTCTATCTCCTCACTTTCCCACTGGCTCTGAAGGCTGTGTGACCTCCCATCGCAAAACACACCTCTTCAGAACTTATTTACATCAGGCAGTTGCTAGTTAAAATTGACTCTAAAAACCAGCCCTGCATCTTCCTACATTATTTAGGCTAAAAATCTTTAAGTAACTGTATTCCTTCTTCCTCCCCAACTTCCACCTTTTTTTTTGCTGACAAAACTGTAGGCAGGAACACCCAACTACATATTTCTGATAAATACTGAGGAGCAGAACTTGTTTCAACACCCTCCTTTAAAGCAGAGCTCCAATTCTTAACCTGCTAGTGCCCTGTGGGAGGATCTAACAATCCTGCAGTATCAATAGATCTTTCACTCATAATAAATCTTCTAAGTACAACTACAACCATAAATAGTAAAGAATGACTTATATGATATTATTTCATTTCTAACAGTGTTAATAGACAAATATCTTTCAAAACATGAGCTTGCTTTCAAGTATCTAAACATTTTTTTATCCAAAGCTGCTATATGAACTATGACAGATGAGTGGTATGGCTGACAGAAATTGCTGTGGAGTACACAGAATTTCCAGCTGGAGGGCTTGATCTTTATCAGCCACCATGAAACCAGTCCACAGACATGATACATACTCAGTATCCCCAAGTTTCTAAGCCATTCTTAAAAGCTATTAGGTCTTCATTTCATGAATCAAACTCACCTGTACAAAAGCCTGAAATTCTTCCCATTTATTTTCAGGTAAATCGAGAGGCAGACACAGTAGAAGTTCAATACAGCTTCTGGAAGGCAAATAGGAATATTATTTGATGGAACTTCTGGCTTTTAAAATGTATAATCAACAATTCTTAATTCTAGTATTCAAACAGTTATTTGTTTGAAATGCCAAAGCCATAAAAGTCTGATTTGTTTGAACATATAAAGAAAAGGTGGTCACGGACACTCTTGCAGAAGCTGTAAAATCAAACGCTCTAAAACCCACTAATAATAACATTTAAAAAAACAAAAGTAAAAAGAAGAATTTGTCACTGAAGTCCAATCCTGTAACAGCCTGTGTAAACTGTGGCACTTTCGGATAGCATGCACATTAATAGTAGCAAAATGTTTCAAGCCAGGGATGTTGGCTTGTCCTAAATCAGGAGTATTTCTCAAGATTGCTCCATTTTCAACAACCAAAGATATTCTCTCTCACATACAGCATTCACTGTGAGAAAGGAAGGTGCTTCCCAACCTATTTAGAATTTCTATAGACTGTCTGGATTGGGAAAGCATCTAGGCAGTGAAAAGTTAATGCCATACTGGTTGTTTTTAGTAACTGAAAAACATACTCACAGTGCTAAACGTTCAAGCACAAAGGCTACATTTTCACACTCAGAGGTAAGATAAGGTCGTGCTTTAACATAACTTCGGATAGCCACTGTATACACCTCTAACAGGGGCAGAGGGTCTTCCGATGTTTTCCACTTTTCTGCATATTCCAGCAAAGTCTGTTTAAGAAAAAACAACCTCCAAATTAAGGAACAAATGTAAGTTTTTAGTTTTATACTCCTCACTAGTACACTACCCTTCTTACTATGAATCACATGTTCTCAAAACATGACTTTTTTTCCTTAAAATTTGTTTCATTAACAGCTGGAACTTGAACTCCACGCAAAAATCATTCCCTTATCACATGAAAACATTATGACTGACACTTCCCCCCTACGGTATCACCATAAAATTCATTTACATTTTTTCCAAATACAAAAGCCTGAAGAGCACATCTGGGAACACACATACGTAACCTTTTTTTCAGAAATTCATAATTGAGGGACTGAAAACTCAGTTTGTAGACATTCAACTCTATAGTTTAGCATCTAAATCAAATAACTTTGAAAGTGTTAGCCTTTATTTTAACTTGTCTACTTTCAGGAACAGTTTTACTTTTCCCCTTTTGCCACCTTGTTGATACAGATATGTTCGGGTATCACTTTTTACATGGTCCTGTAAGAAATAAGAACTACTCATTTTAAAGACAGCATATATATACCTGAAACTCATTAGTCAAAAAGCTGTTTCCCTACTTTGCCACATGGAATACCTACAAACAATGGTTTAGAAATAAAACTCATGAGAGTGATGGAATAACCACCACCACCCGAAGTACAATAGGCTTCTGTTCATTTCAGTCAGGGACAGGGAGCTTGGACTCAGATACACATTAAGGTAGAGTAGCTAGCAAGGTTCTTCTGTCAGCATCTAAACCATGTCCCTTGTGGATCTCTGTCCTCCAGCCTGGGGCATCTTAATGGATTGCAAACTAATTTCTGCGCTATGGCAGATTGCAGTCTGTCATATTAAGAAGATCAGTTTTGCTGTTTACTTCTTGGGGGGTATAACAGGCAGAAAGCTTAGAGTAACAGATAGCAATTTTGGTTAACACCTTGTTCAAAGCAGGGCCATTAGAATAAGATGTTTGTAGCAATGTCCAGTGGAGCTGTGACCATCCTGAAGGACAAAGACCCTACAGCCTCTGTGGGCAACCTGATTCCGAGTCTGACTACCACTTATTGGGATTTTCCCTCACCAGTACCTAGATGCAGTCCCGCATGCTCTCAATAAAGGGATTAATCTCCCTCAACCTGCTGGCCGCGCTCTTGCGAGCACGGCCGAGGGTGTAGCTGGCGCTGTGCCGCACGGGCACGCTGTGGCCGCTCAGGAGGACGGCTGGCTTGGCGTTCGCAGAGCTGCTCGCCGGCCACCGGCCTCTGCGGGGCATGGGGTGACTCCCTCCCACACGCAGGGCTCGGCGCCCGCCTCAGCTGATCTGCGGGGCTGCCTGCTCCCACGGGGCGTTGAGGGTCCTCTCCAAAGTCTCCCTGACCTCCCGTGTAGGGATTGCTCCCAACAATTTGGTACCATCTGCAAACGTGCTGAGGATACACTCTGTCCCCTCAGCCAACTAATAAAGCAGAGGGTATTTGCTCCAGTGTCAAGCCTTGATAGGATGCCACAAGTAGCCAGGTGCCATCTGGAGTGTGTACTACTAAGCACAAGTCTTTGAGCCCACAGCTCAGCCACCTTACCACATTGCCAGGATAAGTGAACTTGTTTATAAGGATACTACAGGAGACCAAGTCCAAGGCCTTGATGATGTCAGGCAGAAAAACATCCGCAGAACCAGCAGTTTCATCACAGAAGGAAATCAGGTGTGTCAGTGTGAAAGCATTTTACATAGCTCATACTGTCAAGGCCATTTAGAAAAAGTCACGGTTCCTCTTTTTATTAAGGTCAGCTGTAATTAAAACAACTTTGACAATATCGGTTCAATTCTGACAAGGTTTGTTCTGGTAAGGAAAATCAGAGTCCTCAGGACAATAAAGCTCTTCTGCTACAGAATCCCCCACATAACTGAACAAAAACCAGAACAAAGTGGTTCTCAACTCATTTTAACATGCAAATACTAAAATTTTGTTTAATTTTTTATATGCAAATGTAACAATCTTAATGAACTTGCTATATCTTGGATATAATGCAACTCAAACAATAAAATCTGACTTTAAGCAAGTTGTCTCTGGCTTTATGTATTGGAAAGTAAGAAAACCAAACATTAATTCTTCAGGAAAGGCAAGTCAGTCACATTAAAAGAGAAAACAAAAAAATCCCCATAGCTTTATTCCTGTCTTCAACTCTACTAAGTTTAGCATAAGTTAAATTCAGCGTTACAGATATCTATGTAAGATATCTCTCCTGAGTTACCTAGTGGTACTATTAAGAACATATTTTAAATTCTCGTATTTGGCAGTGTCTAAAATAAACACTCCCAGTAAAAAATGTCAATTGAACTAAATCAGAAAACTGTTCACCATACTACCACCAGGTTACAGCACAGACAAAACACAGACCAAAGATATCCCAGTCAGGAACATAACAGGTAAAAAATATGCAGGTTTTGACAAACTGTTGCATTAAAACATATTTCAGGCTTAAATTAAGTATTAATACACAATCACCTCAAAAGAAGTTACATATTCTACTTTTCTGCTGCAGCAGCAGACACTGCTGCAGCAGAAGATGCTTCTGCAGCATCTAGTGCTCCCTATTGGAACTTTGAACCTGACTGGAATATTGTCCATTTTACTATAACACCCAGTATGATGCTCTCCTAACAGCAGCAAAAAAAGCACCACAGATCACGGCAGAGAAATCAAGGAAGAGTAAAACAGCGCAGAAGCATGAAAGAAGCAACAAAGGAGGACTAGATAAACAAGTTAACAATGCTAGCAAACATCTATTTTGGTATCAATTTGGCAATTTTGATCATTGCACTGGAATAATCAGATCAGAACAAAGAAGTCAGCTTCAAAGAATCTTGAAAGTAACTCCAGTAAAATGTCTCCCTCTGTACAAATACACACATAACCAGATTTACTGTGATTTCAGTTACTGATTTGTCATACATGACATGTTTAGGATGCTAGTGGTAAAACAGCAAAGCTAAAGAAAAAGCAGCCTATGAAAGTATACTTTACATCCTTCACTCTCCGAGTCCTGAAGCAATGTTTTGGACAGAACAGGCAATGACTTCCCCTCATCCAGCTGACAGAAGTATTCACATTAAAAGAGTGAACAGGACAAACTTCTGGTTTACATGAATGCCACAAGACCTGCAGAAGAAATCCTTTGGCCTTAACTTGATGCTGTTTCTTGTTATGAATACAACAGAGCAATCAATGCAGCACCTTTCAGAGTATAGTACTATAGAAAATTTAAAATAGAAACCATACTTGTATAATCCTTTTTCCTTATGGAATAAACTTTTCCTTTTAAGTGCTCAGATATGACCTATTTTTGCACTGGAGAAAACAACACACAACTGCTTTTTGTTAAATGATTATTACAGCTTAACTAATTTACGCTTGCTTAAAAGAAATAATTCTCCCTATAAAGGAGAAATGTGAAAACAACTTGCTGATGACATTGAATAAAAGAGGGACAAACATGGTAATAAAACATTCAGCATAGCTTATGGTTCATATGGATTCTTAAATATGCTGGGAAAATTCTTTGCATTAGCTTGGAGTGCTACCTAGCTCATACAGGGAGTCAGCTTCACAATCAGAGATTAATAGTTAAAGCTGACGTCATCATCATGAATTACTTTCCTTTTTTGATTAAACTGAAACAACGTATTTCTCCTTTTAGACTAAATATTTTAAAAAAATAACCACAAAAAAAAAACAAAACAAAACAAAACAAAACAACAAAAAACAAAGCAAGTGGTAGCTAACTTATCAGACCAAGGCAGTAACAGGTTACATAAACTACCAGTCAGTTTTATCCAGCTGATTGTCCAAACTTGCTAGACAGGCCTGGCCATCAAAAATCTGCCAAATAGCTTCTGCCAGTAAGATAAGTTTATATTTTGGAAGTTGATATATGAAGTCATGAATCCTGCTTAATACTAGAAACACTAGGCCAAGGACCTGATGTAAATAAGATTTTTAATGTAGCCCACCTACCTTTACTAGTGTCCTCTTCAGCAGACCGCAGCAAGCAACAAGATTAATGCAAGCTTTGGCAAGTGAAGGATATTTTGAAGGTAGCTACCAAGCCAAGACAACATATCCTGAAAGCCTCAAAGTGTTAAGTTTGAGCTCAAAGTGAGCAGAAGATGGAAGAAGAAAGGGGTGAGGAAGGAGGCTGAAGTAGAGAGATGTAACTGAGCAACTGGTCATCTGAGAAGTGTGACTGAAGAATTATCAAGAGGATTCTCATCTGTTGTTGCAGACAGCAACATCTAGAATCTAAAGAAGAAGCCAGCAGCCTCAGCAGAGAGACACTGATTCGTAAAGCAAGCTATGACAAGTGACCACGGAGACATGTAACAACGAGATCAGAAGACCTCAAGTTTCATGGGGCAGGGAAGAGAGACCTTACAGGTAGTCAGCATGCTAAAAAACCTCCAGCTAGGCAGTATCACCATCTGAACTGCACAAAGGAAGATACTGAAGACCAGAGGCCCATTATGATGGAACCCAGCTACAATTCTCCTTCATAAATAGGAACTTTACAGAAATACCATGCAGTCATTAATACCAAAACACTGGATTGGGAAGAACTATAAAAGCACTTGCAGAACCTATGAAAGCACAACCAACACTACTCCAATCCACATCCACATTAATAAGGATAAATTGAAGCAAATAAAATTTTATCTTGAAAATATGAGGTTTAGGAGTAGCTAACCAAAGCAAAAGTAGATATAATCAACACTTTGGCAAATTCTCAGAATCCACCACCTATCAAAAAATATTCTGTATGTTGGTGAGCTGTTATGACCAATACTGTCCTTTAAAAGTGGCAAACACACTGCAAACACACTGTATAAAGCAAGCTGAGAAGTTTGCACTATAACATAGTGGCACTAATTTATTTCAACATTAAATAGTGCTATTTTTATGTTGTATATATAGATCAGCCACTTCCAAGTCATTATATGAACTAT